CTTATATGTTAATATTACTATATTAATTCTCTCGGGTAGCTAAACTCATTTATAACTTTCAGCTTCTCTTCACTGGAATTCACATTGCACTGTATGTCTCATTCTAGCATACAGTCCTTGCATTACTTACATAGTCTGTCTTTGTAATTCAATAATTTTTAATGAAGTATTTATCCTGACTAAAAATAGTTTTAGACTAAAACTTCAATAAAGTTGTATGATGTGAAGTTAAATAGTGAGGATGATCCTTTTCCATTTTAACCAGCAGAACACTGAATCACAAATTCTATTAAGTACACTGAAATACAAATTCAATTAAGTTTTCTCTTTGCTCACTAAGTTTTATTCCAATATATAAAACTATTGCCGGGAGCAATGGGCTAGTAACCCCTTCTCCTGTAGACATTTACTAAAAAAGAGAAGAAGAAAAACTTTATAAAACTGGGATGCTTAAATGTGCGTGGATGTAGTGCGGATGACAAGAAACAGATGATTGCTGATGTTATGAATGAAAAGAAGTTGGATGTCCTGGCCCTAAGCGAAACAAAGCTGAAGGGGGTAGGGGAGTTTCAGTGGGGGGAAATAAATGGGATTAAATCTGGAGTATCTGAGAGAGTTAGAGCAAAGGAAGGGGTAGCAGTAATGTTAAATGATCAGTTATGGAAGGAGAAAAGAGAATATGAATGTGTAAATTCAAGAATTATGTGGATTAAAGTAAAGGTTGGATGCGAGAAGTGGGTCATAATAAGCGTGTATGCACCTGGAGAAGAGATGAATGCAGAGGAGAGAGAGAGATTTTGGGAGATGTTAAGTGAATGTATAGGAGCCTTTGAACCAAGTGAGAGAGTAATTGTGGTAGGGGACCTGAGTGCTAAAGTAGGAGAAACTTTTAGAGAGGGTGTGGTAGGTAAGTTTGGGGTGCCAGGTGTAAATGATAATGGGAGCCCTTTGATTGAACTTTGTATAGAAAGGGGTTTAGTTATAGGTAATACATATTTTAAGAAAAAGAGGATAAATAAGTATACAAGATATGATGTAGGGTGAAATGACAGTAGTTTGTTGGATTATGTATTGGTAGATAAAAGACTGTTGAGTAGACTTCAGGATGTACATGTTTATAGAGGGGCCACAGATATATCAGATCACTTTCTAGTTGTAGCTACACTGAGAGTAAAAGGTAGATGGGATACAAGGAGAATAGAAGCATCAGGGAAGAGAGAGGTGAAGGTTTATAAACTAAAAGAGGAGGCAGTTAGGGTAAGATATAAACAGCTATTGGAGGATAGATGGGCTAATGAGAGCATAGGCAATGGGGTCGAAGAGGTATGGGGTAGGTTTAAAAATGTAGTGTTAGAGTGTTCAGCAGAAGTTTGTGGTTACAGGAAAGTGGGTGCGGGAGGGAAGAGGAGCGATTGGTGGAATGATGATGTAAAGAGAGTAGTAAGGGAGAAAAAGTTAGCATATGAGAAGTTTTTACAAAGTAGAAGTGATGCAAGGAGGGAAGAGTATATGGAGAAAAAGAGAGAGGTTAAGAGAGTGTTGAAGCAATGTAAAAAGAGAGCAAATGAGAGAGTGGGTGAGATGTTATCAACAAATTTTGTTGAAAATAAGAAAAAGTTTTGGAGTGAGATTAACAAGTTAAGAAAGCCTAGAGAACAAATGGATTTGTCAGTTAAAAATAGGAGAGGAGAGTTATTAAATGGAGAGTTAGAGGTATTGGGAAGATGGAGGGAATATTTTGAGGAATTGTTAAATGTTGTTGAAGATAGGGAAGCTGTGATTTCGTGTATAGGGCAAGGAGGAATAACATCTTGTAGGAGTGAGGAAGAGCCAGTTGTGAGTGTGGGGGAAGTTCGTGAGGCAGTAGGTAAAATGAAAGGGGGTAAGGCAGCCGGGATTGATGGGATAAAGATAGAAATGTTAAAAGCAGGTGGGGATATAGTTTTGGAGTGGTTGGTGCAATTATTTAATAAATGTATGGAAGAGGGTAAGGTACCTAGGGATTGGCAGAGAGCATGCATAGTTCCTTTGTATAAAGGCAAAGGGGATAAAAGAGAGTGCAAAAATTATAGGGGGATAAGTCTGCTGAGTATACCTGGTAAAGTGTATGGTAGAGTTATTATTGAAAGAATTAAGAGTAAGACGGAGAATAGGATAGCAGATGAACAAAGAGGCTTTAGGAAAGGTAGGGGGTGTGTGGACCAGGTGTTTACAGTGAAACATATAAGTGAACAGTATTTAGATAAGGCTAAAGAGGTCTTTGTGGCATTTATGGATTTGGAAAAGGCATATGACAGGGTGGATAGGGGGGCAATGTGGCAGATGTTGCAGGTGTATGGTGTAGGAGGTAGGTTACTGAAAGCAGTGAAGAGTTTTTACGAGGATGGTGAGGCTCAAGTTAGAGTATATAGGAAAGAGGGAAATTATTTCCCAGTAAAAGTAGGCCTTAGACAAGGATGTATGATGTCACCGTGGTTGTTTAATATATTTATAGATGGGGTTGTAAGAGAAGTAAATGCGAGGGTCTTGGCAAGAGGCGTGGAGTTAAAAGATAAAGAATCACACACAAAGTGGGAGTTGTCACAGCTGCTCTTTGCTGATGACACTGTGCTCTTGGGAGATTCTGAAGAGAAGTTGCAGAGATTGGTGGATGAATTTGGTAGGGTGTGCGAAAGAAAAAAATTAAAGGTGAATACAGGAAAGAGTAAGGTTATGAGGATAACAAGTAAGTAAGTAAGTAAGTAAGTAAGTTTATTCAGGTATACACAAATACAGTTACATAGAATTATCATACATAGCAGCATATGTGTAGAGAACCTAGGATAACCCAAAAAAGTCAGACAGAGTGACTTATTTCCATTTAGGTAATGAAAGATTGAATATCAGATTGGAGGGAGAGAGTATGGAGGAGGTGAATGTATTCAGATATTTGGGAGTGGACGTGTCAGCACATGGGTCTATGAAAGATGAGGTGAATCATAGAATTGATGAGGGGAAAAGAGTGAGTGGTGCACTTAAGAGTCTGTGGAGACAAAGAACTTTGTCCTTGGAGGCAAAGAGGGGAATGTATGAGAGTATAATTTTACCAACGCTCTTATATGGGTGTGAAGCATTGGTGATGAATGTTGCAGCGAGGAGAAGGCTGGAGGCAGTGGAGATGTCATGTCTGAGGGCAATGTGTGGTGTGAATATAATGCAGAGAATTCGTAGTTTGGAAGTTAGGAGGAGGTGCGGGATTACCAAAACTGTTGTCCAGAGGGCTGAGGAAGGGTTGTTGAGGTGGTTCGGACATGTAGAGAGAATGGAGCGAAACAGAGTGACTTCAAGAGTGTATCAGTCTGTAGTGGAAGGAAGGCGGGGTAGGGGTCGGCCTAGGAAAGGTTGGAGGGAGGGGGTAAAGGAGGTTTTGTGTGCGAGGGGCTTGGACTTCCAGCAGGCATGCGTGAGTGTGTTTGATAGGAGTAAATGGAGACAAATGGTTTTTAATACTTGACGTGCTGTTGGAGTGTGAGCAAAGTAACATTTATGAAGGGGTTCAGGGAAACCGGCAGGCCGGACTTGAGTCCTGGAGATGGGAAGTTCAGTGCTTGCACTCTGAAGGAGGGGTGTTAATGTTGCAGTTTAAAAACTGTAGTGTAAAGCACCCTTCTGGCAAGACAGTGATGGAGTGAATGATGGTGAAAGTTTTTCTTTTTCGGGCCACCCTGCCTTGGTGGGAATCGGCCGGTGTGATAATAAATAAATAAAAAACATTAAGTTTATAAATACTGTAATGCATTTTTGGGCTCATTGTAACAGTGAACGTTTGAAGATAATGTCAGAGTAGAGACGAGAAAGAAATATTCTGGGAGTTGAGTTGATTGGGGAATGTTAAGGATAGTTGGAGGTGTGTGAGAAAGTAACAGTTTTTGAAGACTTTAATATAGAAATAGAAGAAACTGTTGTGGAAGTTGTATAATAGTAAGAAAGGTTGGGCCATCTGTTGTTAATGATACTGGGGTATGCTTGGAAAGTATTTTCATGATATTAATGCTTCAAGAAAAAAAATAAATATGAAAAAGAGGTATGAAGTATTGAGTACTAGAATAGTCTGCTGGACTGTGCTGCCAGATAATTGTTGGGAGGAAGGATAGCTAATGTGAAAATGATGATGAGGATTATGAAAAGGTTCGCTGTATAAGTTTTGATAATAGATGTGTAGGTGCAGAAGGAGAGAGATTGGTGACATACAGTGAAAATGGTGATAAATGTAAGAATATTTTATGAAATTTTCAATTCACCATATACCCTGAAATTTGGAATATTCCAAAATGAACAAAAAATCTGAAATTGTCAGAATTTGGGTTTGTTGAGGTTGTTGAAGTGGTTCGGACATGTAGAGAGAATGGAGCGAAACAGAATGACTTTAAGAGTGTATCAGTCTGTAGTGGAAGGAAGGCGGGGTAGGGGTCGGCCTAGGAAAGGTTGGAGGGAGGGGGTAAAGGAGGTTTTGTGTGCGAGGGGCTTGGACTTCCAGCAGGCATGCGTGAGCGTGTTTGATAGGAGTGAATGGAGACAAATGGTTTTTAATACTTGACGTGCTGTTGGAGTGTGAGCAAAGTAACATTTATGAAGGGGTTCAGGGAAACCGGCAGGCCGGACTTGAGTCCTGGAGATGGGAAGTACAGTGCCTGCACTCTGAAGGAGGGGTGTTAATGTTGCAGTTTAAAAACTGTAGTGTAAAGCACCCTTCTGGCAAGACAGTGATGGAGTGAATGATGGTGAAAGTTTTTCTTTTTCGGGCCACCCTTCCTTGGTGGGAATCGGCCAGTGTGATAATAATAAAAATAAAAACAAATTTATGTTCACTCATTCAAATTTTTATAATATGGACTTCTGAGCACAGCTTGGAATAAGAAAGAAATCACTATGTAAAATTTTCAGTGTATCCTGTATCAGCAGATAAAGAAGAACTGCTAAGTAATAAGATGTATGTATTATGCATTATCTCCTAATTTCAGATTGGGCAGCTCTATCACAAACCAAGATTCTAAACTGACTAGAATAACACGTAGTCAGGCAGAAGGGAAAGACGAGGAAGCTGAAGATAAAACTGTAGAAGGTGAGCAGCAAAGGAAAGTAATAGAGAGAATTGAGGATCGTGACAGTGGGAAGACTGGAAAAACTGAAGGTGTGCTTCAAGAGTCGTCAAACATATCTCGACCTATCAGATTAGTTAGACAGAAGTTGCCTGGAAGAAAACTTCTTGTTAAGAAAGTGGTCAGGGTTACCAGAGAAGGTAAGTGTGTAATGCTTTGAACTTATTCATAGCATACCCAAAATATCAAGTGTATTGATATGAATGTAAATTATAATTCATTGTAAAGCTAGGAATGGTTGGATACAGTGTAACCTTGTAAGTTATAGGGATTAAGTTGCTGAAACTACAGATAGAAAATCACTTGTCTGAATAATTTAAGGTTTTTTGCCATCTTTCCTTTAATTTTGCTTTGATTTGTTTAATATTGCCATTAATAAGAATGAGTCAGTTTTTAATTATTTTTTTTTTTTAGTTTTCAATGTAGGGGATGAGTACTAAGCTAAATAACAATGGACACCAAGAAAAAACATTAATAATTGAAACTGTCTGCGAAGTGGCCTTCAGTACTTTATGATCAAATCATATAGATTATGAACCACACTAAATCTGTAGTTCACCTGTGTGGTGTAATTAACCATTTATGCACTACATATTTTGATTTCCCAAAGATTTGTCTATGCATTTATAGAGTGGTAAAATTCATTGCATATTATTAATTGTGGGTTAGAGCCCCCATCCATTCTGTGATTAATTGTAATAATTCAGGTAATTGGTAATAAACAATAGTTTTGTAATTGAATTGTATTTCTGAAGTGCTGTACAGTATAAAATAAAGACAGTAAAAGGCTAAAAGAACTTTGTGGACTCTCTCACACTTGACACCACACCCCATACCTTGCATAGAGTACTGTAATGATAATTGGTCACATATAAAACAGATTATCAAGCAACTGCTGTACAGTCAAATGATGTTATTTACAAAACATATGTGAGGTACAGCATTTATATGCTGAAGGAATAGCTATGTTTTTAGATGTACTGCAATTATGTTTTTCTGATATTTTCCAAAGAATTTCTTTGAGGCTCTTACTAAGTCGTACTATGCATATGGCGAAGCTTTTTTTTCAATTTCACTTCCAACAGTAAAGTCGACCCCATCCTCAGCATAGATTAATATAGATCTCTTCAATTAATTTTCTATCAATATTACATTGGCATATGCTTTTATAAGCTTATGACGACTATGCTGTTTGGTGTACAACCATCACATGGAAAACCTTGGGAAATGACTGTACAATGCTGTACATATATTTATTGAAGAGTTAGCTTGATTAAAACTCTCTCCTGCCTCATTTTTGTCTGTCTAAGCTCAATACTTGTTTATTGCCATGTTTCTTGAAGACTTGGATCACTTTGAGGATAGACATAGGCTTTTGGCATTATTTTTTTTGCTTCTGATGTAATAAAAAGAATCTATGTGTGTATTTTTTAATTTATCTGTTTTAGTTATTTTTAAAAAATGTAGATACTTTTTGCCATTTTTTACTATTATCATTCATGAAGATGTATGGTACCTGAATATGTTACAAGTATTATTACTTTGTAATATTAATTTAACTTATTTGGCTATATGACATATCACTGAAAGGTTACTGTACTGTATATAAAATTGTGCACATGTGATGGGGATATAACAGAGAACTTCTTTCTTTCTTTCAACACACCAGCCATATCCCACCAAGGCAGGGTGTCCCAACAAGAAAAACGAAAGTTTCTCTTTTCTTTCTTCTTTCAACACACCGGCCGTATCCCACCGAGGCAGGGTGGCCCAAAAGGAAAAACGAAAGTTTCTCCTTTTACATTTAGTAATATATACAGGAGAAGGGGTTACTAGCCCCTTGCTCCCGGCATTTTAGTCACCTCTTACGACACGCATGGCTTACAGAGGAAGAATTCTGTTCCACTTCCCCATGGAGATAAGAGGAAATAAACAAGAACAAGAACTAGAAAAAAAATAGAAGAAAACCCAGAGGGGTGTGTATATATATATGCTCATACATGTATGTGTAGTGTGACTTAAGTGCAAGCAAAGTAGCAAGACATACCTGAAATCTTGCATGTTTATGAGACAGAAAAAAGACACCAGCAATCCTACCATCATGTAAAACAATTACAGGTTTTCGTTGTACACTCACTTGGCAGGACGGTAGTACCTCCTTGGGTGGTTGCTGTTTACCAACCTACTACCTAGGAACAGAGAACTATGCTTTTGATATTTCTGTTTATCCATAAAATCTCACTCTACTATCAAATTTTTTTTTTTATTTTTATTATCACACTGGCCGATTCCCACCAAGGCAGGGTGGCCCGAAAAAGAAAAACTTTCACCATCATTCACTCCATCACTGTCTTGCCAGAAGGGTGCTTTACACTACAGTTTTTAAACTGCAACATTAACACCCCTCCTTCAGAGTGCAGGCACTGTACTTCCCATCTCCAGGACTCAAGTCCGGCCTGCCGGTTTCCCTGAACCCCTTCATAAATGTTACTTTGCTCACACTCCAACAGCACGTCAAGTATTAAAAACCATTTGTCTCCATTCACTCCTATCAAACACGCTCACGCATGCCTGCTGGAAGTCCAAGCCCCTCGCACACAAAACCTCCTTTACCCCCTCTCTCCAACCTTTCCTAGGCCGACCCCTACCCCGCCTTCCTTCCACTACAGACTGATACACTCTTGAAGTCATTCTGTTTCGCTCCATTCTCTCTACATGTCCGAACCACCTCAACAACCCTTCCTCAGCCCTCTGGACAACAGTTTTGGTAATCCCGCACCTCTTCCTAACTTCCAAACTACGATTTCTCTGCATTATATTCACACCACACATTGCCCTCAGACATGACATCTCCACTGCCTCCAGCCTTCTCGCTGCAACATTCATCACCCATGCTTCACACCCATATAAGAGCGTTGGTAAAACTATACTCTCATACATTCCCCTCTTTGCCTCCAAGGACAAAGTTCTTTGTCTCCACAGACTCCTAAGTGCACCACTCACTCTTTTCCCCTCATCAATTCTATGATTCACCTCATCTTTCATAGACCCATCCGCTGACACGTCCACTCCCAAATATCTGAATACATTCACCTCCTCCATACTCTCTCCCTCCAATCTGATATTCAGTCTTTCATCACCTAATCTTTTTGTTATCCTCATAACCTTACTCTTTCCTGTATTCACCTTTAATTTTCTTCTTTTGCACACCCTACCAAATTCATCCACCAATCTCTGCAACTTCTCTTCAGAATCTCCCAAGAGCACAGTGTCATCAGCAAAGAGCAGCTGTGACAACTCCCACTTTGTGTGTGATTCTTTATCTTTTAACTCCACGCCTCTTGCCAAGACCCTCGCATTTACTTCTCTTACAACCCCATCTATAAATATATTAAACAACCACGGTGACATCATACATCCTTGTCTAAGGCCTACTTTTACTGGGAAATAATTTCCCTCTTTCCTACATACTCTAACTTGAGCCTCACTATCCTCATAAAAACTCTTCACTGCTTTCAGTAACCTACCTCCTACACCATACACTTGCAACATCTGCCACATTGCCCCCCTATCCACCCTGTCATACGCCTTTTCCAAATCCATAAATGCCACAAAGACCTCTTTAGCCTTATCTAAATACTGTTCACTTATATGTTTCACTGTAAACACCTGGTCCACACACCCCCTACCTTTCCTAAAGCCTATTTGTTCATCTGCTATCCTATTCTCCGTCTTACTCTTAATTCTTTCAATAATAACTCTACCATACACTTTACCAGGTATACTCAGCAGACTTATCCCCCTATAATTTTTGCACTCTCTTTTATCCCCTTTGCCTTTATACAAAGGAACTATGCATGCTCTCTGCCAATCCCTAGGTACCTTACCCTCTTCCATACATTTATTAAATAATTGCACCAACCACTCCAAAACTATATCCCCACCTGCTTTTAACATTTCTATCTTTATCCCATAAATCCCGGCTGCCTTACCCCCTTTCATTTTACCTACTGCCTCACGAACTTCCCCCACACTCACAACTGGCTCTTCCTCACTCCTACAAGATGTTATTCCTCCTTGTCCTATACACGAAATCACAGCTTCCCTATCTTCATCAACATTTAACAATTCCTCAAAATATTCCCTCCATCTTCCCAATACCTCTAACTCTCCATTTAATAACTCTCCTCTCCTATTTTTAACTGACAAATCCATTTGTTCTCTACAATTTTATAACCGTTGATGTAGTTATGGCTCATGAACCCTTCAAGGGTTACCCACTCCTTTGAGTCAAACCAGATTATCTCCCTTTCCTGGATGCATTATGAATCTAGTGCTTCCACATGAATATAAAATTGTCATTAACCCCTTCAGGGTCCAAGGCCCAAATCTGAAGTGGTGCCCCAGTGTCCAAGAATTTAAAAAAAAAAAAATTGTTATTTTTTCTTATGAAATGGTAGAGAATCTTTTTGTGAAGGTAATAAAACAAAAAGTACGAAATTTGATGGAAAATTGACGAAAATATGCTCTTGCGAATTTTGATGTGTCAGCGATATTTACGAATCGGCGATTTTGCCAACTTTGACTCCCATTTTAGGCCAATTACATTATTCCAGTCAACCAAATTCTTAGCTATTTCACTAGTATTACTTCTATTCTATCGATTGAGCACAAGAAATCGCCAAGTCAACTGTTTCAACTACAAATTAAAGTGATCAGAAATTGTTAATTTGGCCAATTTAACACGAAGTTCAAAATATTCCAATTTCAAAATAGGGTCCAGAATAAACAATGTAGGTATTCCTGGAACTAAACTAACATTTCCTCTGTTCATTAGTTACGTTTTGAGGCTTTACAAATAAATTCCATTTTGATTTTTTATTCACATAATGAATTTTTATTCACACCAAAAAATAGAAGATTTACTGTTATGCAATACTGTAATAATTGTATAAATATCATCACCACACTTGTGAATGTATATTAGACCCACCAGCTGGCGTGTATTAGACGTGTGAGGTCGTTTGTTTACTCTTGAATATCGGCAAAAATTTAACATTTCTGCTACTTTGAGCTCAGTTTCAAACCATTTCTAGTGCTAAAACCAATCAAAATCATCTATATTTCTGTAATATGTCTTCCATTCTATCAAATGAGATGAAGAAATCGCAAATACACCTATAAAAAACATACGAAAAAACACTGCAAAGTCGCTGTTTTAATCGAAAAATCATGATTTCAGTTTTTTCTCTCATTATACACAGTGTGGTGCAGGATCTGTTTTATGTGGTGCACACATACCACATAGATGTATTCTCTCATATCTAGGCCCAAATGTACCACTCACAGTTTACCAGAGTGAGCTGAGCTCATGACGTAGATCTACGGTTTGGACCCTGAACGTAAAGCCGTAGATCTACGGGACGGACCCAGAAAGGGTTAAGTACTTAAATTTGTGTGATGGGTTGAATTTAGAATGATTAAATCATTTGAAAATATTGAGTGTTTTGTAAAGAGTGCTGTTCTTATAATTTTATAAATTAGGTTATTGTGTTGCATATTGTTACATAAGACATTTGCATTTGTAGTTTTTTATATAACTTTAAAATGTGTAATACTTCATATCTAATTTTTTATTATTGTTAACAGCAATGAGGCACAATGAGGCCGAGATGTGCAAACAATCTGAAGTTTCTTCAACATACGTAAGTCAGCCACTGCCCACACAGTCCCCTGACCAAGTGCCTCTTGCTAAAAGGTTGCGAAGAAACATACAAGACTCTGCAGTTTCACCCATTTTACCAAAAAAATTAGCTTCATCGTCCACCTCTCCGTCATCCCTTTTTACTCATATGCCTAAGAAATCTTCAAGCACTGATGCCTCTTCAAACAATTCCCAGATTACTCAAAAGAAGTGTTCCCCCTCCACATCATCCACAAATATACCTGAATCAGAGGAGAAGAGTGAACCCAGTATTGCTGGATCAGAAATTCTGTCAGTTCCATCCTCAAAACTGCATTCTTTGAAAGAAAGTTGTTCCTCTCCGAGTAGTTCACATCCTCAGAAACAGAAATCTCAACCTTCTTCAGACACCTCTTCACCAACTACTACCGAAGATCAAAGTAAAAAATCTCTTGTAGTCACTCCAGTAAATATTTCCTCAAAGAAGTCTTCCCCAGTACTCTCTCCACCCTCTCCAAATGCAGGCAAGAAGCTAGTAATTAGAGAAGACAAACAGAATAAAGTTCCTTCAATTGTAGTGTCTCCAGATTCACCTGTTACTTCTCATACAACAGAAGAAACTGAGTATGCATTGATCTTGTTTGTTTTGCTGTGATATTTACAAAAAAAAAAAAAAATGAAATAAAGGGGCTGTATAATTTTGGTACTTTATATTGTCTGTATATCTGTGATATTCATTTAAATAGATTAGTATTTTTGATACAAGTTGTCATTAATATTAATACAGTACGAGTCCTGGAATCCGGTCACGGCCGAGCAGACGCACCAAGGAAGCTGCCACAGCTTACTTACAGTTGATTGGTCGTAAACTGGCACAGGAATCTAAAGGCAATTCAAAATCTGTTGATGAAGATGATTATGAAGAGGAGGACGAGGAGGAGGAGGAGGAGGAGGAGGAAGATAATACTATTTCATTAAAGCAGGTCATGGATCTGAAGTCTCAGTCAAAAATCAGTAAGTTTTATGATGAAGCTGTATTTTCCTTTTTTTTTTATTTTAATGTCTACTTTCAGCTGATGACATAGTGAGACCTCATGTGCACATAGGCGTATCTATGAGAATAACTAGATGTGTTTTGGTCGCTCTGCAATCAATGAAATGTATTCCCTGTATCCCTTAATTCTAGCCCTTTGTACCTCAGTTCTCACAAATGCAATAATTTAGTGTGAGGCATAGGTTTCTAGTGTAGTCAGTTATAAAAATAATTAGTAGCTGTAACTCAGCCTTCTCAAGAAGTTCAGGACATGGAGATCAGCAATTTAAAGAGGCCCAAGAGTTTTAAATGTACTCAGAGTTCCCTGGAGACTACCTTTCATGGTGGGGTTGGTCTCCTTGTTATATCACAGAAAATTGACTGATCATAATGAAACTTGTATGTGTTATTTTGCTGTGCCAGGTGACATGTTACAACATAGCCTTATAAAAAATATTTATTTAATTAGTTTGAATTAAGTTTAATTTTTTCTTCTTTTTCTTTTGAGTAGGCTATATGGGAAAAGGGATTACTAACCTATTGCTCCCTGCATTTTAGTTGGCTTTTACAACATGCATGGATTTTCTTTCTTTTTGGGTCACCCTGCCTCAGTGGGAAACGGCCAACGTGTTAAAAAAAAGAAAAAGTTTAGTTAAGAATTACCTGTATTTTCTAAATGGCTTAACAGAATAGGGTAAAAGATTGTATGGTGCAGATTTAAAGCAGGATAAAAGTCTATCTAACTGTTTTATCTTTTTGGCCCAATATATTTAATATTTCTAACTTTCTTCACACATTTACATTCATTTTGTTTTTCAGTCTTCTTGACTGACTTTCCTTTACAGATAAACTGATTTTCTTAATGCTTAAAAAATGTTTCAGGACGAAAAGATAAAGAAGTGGAAGAAAGAAAGTATCAAAATTCATCTGAGGAAGAGACACTGGAGCCCATAAGAAAAACAGGCAGTGAGGATAATGAAAGTTGTGTTGTAAGTGATAGCTCTGCAAAGACAAACCTTAGAAAGTCTCTCAGGAAAGTTAGAGATTTTACAAGACAATCGGAACCTGAGAAATTGAACACTCCCGACAGTGTCAATACTGAAGTTGGACGAATAACCAGAAGAACTCCTTCTTACAAAGAAGAGCTGTCTAATTCTATTAATGATGAAAAAATCACTTGTAGCTCTAGAAGAACAAGAAGCTGTGAAAAGAGGGACCCGCCTACACCAGACGAACAAGGTGACTCAGAATCCACTCAGTCTCCCACTTGTGTGAGAAGATATACCCCACCAGAACCAAGCATCACTGTACCTACTAGAGCAATGCCAAGAAGACTAAGAAGAACTCGAAGTGATGCAGACGAACCAAAGAAGAAAGAATCATGGCCTTCCTTTAGGCGTGCATCATTAGAAGCTGACAGCTCTCATGAGGTTACTCGACAGAGGCGTACAATGAGATTGAGGGATGAACAGGATTACAAGGAAAACGAGAATGATAGTGAAGAAAATGAAAGATTAATAATAAACACTCGTACAAAGAGAGATTTGAAAAGAACAAGTAGTGAGCCAGTGACACCCATAAAAAATGCAAATGATGAAAATGAAAAATGTTTGAGAATGAGAACTCGTCGACTTGAAGCTCCGGGTGGCATTAAGGGTGATAATTCATTAGCTGTTAGTAAAGTAAAGGACTCAAAGACTTTTTGTAGTTCACGTGATATTATTTCTAAAGTGGAAAAGGAAGAGGAATGTAAGAAAAGTGTTTCTAAGGCTGATTCTAATGTAGACGTCAAAGAGAAAGAGCACTATAAAGATGAAAAGAAAGATGATATAGAAATTACTGATGCAGGAAGTTCTTCAGATGGAAATATGCAAAATTCTGAGAAAATATTTGGACCTGCAGCAAAATCAAGGAGAACAGTTTCACAAGATAGAAAAATAGAACAGTATTTGTCACATGAAGGTGTACGACATTCCTCCGTCAGAAGGAGTTTAGATAAATCTGATAGCAATGACAGTAATGATATTGGTGAAACTTTCTTGAAAAGTAATAGAAGTAGAAGTGGATCTTTAGGTAGCAACATAGAGAACACTAACCTTGATGCAAATGATAAAAAGTTACTGGGACCACTGAACAGAAGGAAATCTGTTGGAAATAGAAGGAGAAGTAGTAATCATGATGAAGCCAAATTAAATGAAGTTTTAGAGAGTGTTGCCAAAGACTTTGAGAAAGATATAGATGATGATCATTATGATAAAATAGAAAAAGATTTTATGATGGGAAATAAATCTCCTGAGAAAAGTAAAGGAGAAACTACACCAACAGAAATGGAAAAGGAAGATTTATTTATTTCTGACAGTAGTGTTTCTTGCATGGATGAAAAAAGTTCAAATTCAGTAGATATGATGCTTAATTCATCAAGTTCACAAAAAATTTCAGGCAGTACTGCTGTAGTCCAGTCTGGTAGTAGCAGCCCAAGTCCTAGTAAAAGAAGCACAACTAGTAAAAAGCTAAGTGATGTTGTTCGCAGCCTTCAAAAGAAACAAGCAGAGTCCCCAAGCAAAGTAAACCCACATGAAAAGCCAACATTTTTGAAGGATCTCAACAAGTGGAACTCTGATAAATCGAGGCAAGTAAGTTCTCAGTCGAGTCCTCACCTTCACTCTCCTGGTACTTCCTGTGTACCTATAGCAGTAACACACAATGATGTCTCCCTGCCAGAAATTGCACATATCCCTAGTGCACCCTCTACTTCATTAGAGAATACATCCACTACCACCACCACCACCTCAAAGGCACCATCACAAATACCTCAGAAATCTGGCACTACCAAAGTTGCATCCACTAAATCCAGCACTACCAGACCTCCCCAAACTATTTCACCTGTTGTCTCATGCAGTTCACCCCAGGTAGAGCCTGAGATGACCACGTGTTCACAAACTTTTGCACCCAGCACTACAGTCACTTCCAGCATTCATAAAGGTCTTTCCAGTGTGAGCACAGCACCAGCAGTGACATCTGCCTTTGCCTCAGGTATACAGAAAGGAAATATAGCATTAAAAGCAGCACCTTTAATATTTCAGAGTGCTCAAGATGAACATATAACTGTTCTTCCAAGCTTGCCAGTTGCAGTTAAATCTCCTGCTACAATTAATGTTGTGGGCACAGGATTTTCATCCCCACTCACTGTGTCCCATGTACCACAATTATCATCAGTTGTAACACTTTCTTCTGTTGGTAGTGGTTCTGTTGCTAGTCCCAGACCAATAGATCAGTCAGCTACAAAAAATACTCACAAACAGCTTTCAATTGCCCCTAAACCAGCAACACCCTCAGCTGCTCTGGTAGCATCTGCACCTGCTGGTCAGGTGTCAAAAACTGTTTTACCACCAGGCACTCAAAAGACAGTTCCCAAACCTGTACAAATTGCCCCAAAGCCCCCAGCTCCTACATCTCATATTCACCCAAATGCTCACCTTATTGCCCCTCAGCCTGGTCACATGATGCAAGCACAAGTACAGGCTCAGGTGCAGACAATACCACAGTCAGTTCATACAGTTCAAGCAATAACTCAGCCAGTACAAACTATGCAGGCTATACCTCAACCTATACAAACAATGCAGACTGTAACTGGTATGCCTGTGCAAGCTGTTATTACTCAAGCTGTCATTGATCCAGCCCAATTGGTAACCCCATCTTCACCAGCAAAAATAATTACTCAACCAGTATTTGTTACTTCATCTATGCAGAGTGCAGTTACTTATAGCATTGCACCTCAAACTGTAGGTCAAGGTCACTTAAGTGGTAATGTAAGTGCAGTTGCTCGTGTTCTCGCTCCTACCATGGTCGGTAAAGTAACAGCCAAACCTCAGCCTCATCTTATAACCCCAAAGGTACCAGATTCTCTTGTTACCTTAGCTCCAGCTTCAGTTGGCAGTATTGCTACAGTGAGACCCATTGTGCCTTTATCCCAGCAGGTGCAAACATCCCAGCAGACACAAATTCTTGCAGTTAATGTGATGCCAGTAGGATCCACACAAATGCAAACAGTGACAGGACAGCCAGGTTTGATAGCAAAACCCCAGATCCCAATTCCTCCTCCAGGTCATCCTCCTGGACACCACCATACTCTCATTCCCACAACAGCTACTGATCAGCTCACCTCTCAAAGCCATCCTGCTGTTCCGCTCTCACAGTCTCTGCTGAGCACAGCTGCTGCCTCCCAAATACCTCTTGCTTCTATTGCTACCACCTTTCCTGTTGTCTCTACTGAAATTAGAGGAAACTCACCCCATGCGAACAGCAATGTTCTAACCAGTACTCACCGTGGATCAGTCTCTGTTAATCAGGTATCAAGGCCAGTGCCTGTTGACAAAAGTATGCCTGGAATTACTGCTCCATGTGGCAAGTTAACTAGTAATCTGAAATCCTTTCCTAGTGCTTCTTATCAAGGCACTCCACAATTACCCAGCTCTGGCATGCCTGTAGCAATAACTAAAGCTTGTACTGTAGCTCCTTGTGGCATTGTAAATAAAATGATTTCCAAAACGTCTGAGAACAAATTAGACAGCTCTATATCTACGCAGACATGTAAAGTTGTGGAAACAGCTTTCAAAGGAGGAATACCAGGGAATGTAAGAATAACAGAAGTCTCAAAAGTCAATGCCAAGAACATTGAACCAGTCTCTATAGCAACTACAGATTCTAGTGCAAAATTAACATTTTCTAATCAGCCAGCTAGGCCACAATTAGCATCCTCCTCAGTAACAATTACATCTCTGAGTGAAGCACAGCATTCCAACCAGCTTTGTACTACAGAGGGACTAAAGCCAGTCACTACTGTAAAGCAGCAAAACACACCACATACTGGTATTTCAATTAAGTTATCCTCAAGTGTAAGTGTTGTTCAACACAAAGCAGGGATAGGGAGAAATGTTGCTGTAGCATCATTGCTTTCAAAAACTGAAACAGAAAAGTCCAGTACGTATATCCCAGTGTTAGAAAAAGATAAATCAATATTGCCTAGTATAACAAAACAAGAGAGAGATAAAAAAGTTCTTGCTCCCAGTATTACTAGCTCTGCTACATCTTCAGTTCCTAAAATAGAGAAAAATAAAGTTGCTTCTGCTACCTCACTTTTGAAGAGTAATACAGATAACAATTTTATCACATCTCTTCATAAATCTGACAATGATGTAACCATTTCTACTTGCCAAGTGCGTAAAGCAAATAAGAGCAAAATTGATATTCGATCAGTTCCAGCAAATAGTGACGTAATTAAATTTGATAAAGTACAAAATATAAATGGCAAGGATAGTTATAATTTGAAATTGTGTGACAAGAAAATGGTAGATAAAAAGAAAGAGCCTTTTATGAAAAGAACTCTTTTTAAGACCAAAAGTCAAGAAGATAAAAAGATGCTTGGACCTTCTGTGTGCAAAACTAAAAGCATAGAAGGAAAAAAGCCTTCAGGTGCATTTTCTCCATTACACGAAAGCAGTGTCTATGCTTTTGAACCAGAAGTTGAAACATCTCTTGAGGAATCTTCACCATTTTCACAAAGAATTAAAAACATTCATCCGTCACCAGGAACATCACCTGTAAAGCCTAACAATTCAATTAAACCTCCAAGTCAAGCACCAGTTCCAAACAAACCACTTGGTAAAGTAACTACAGTTGCTAATGTTCGAAGTCCTGTTGCTCGATCTTTAACCCCCATTATAGCAGGTAGGGCAAAACCTACTGTGGGAGTAAACCCTAGTACAGTAACATCTCAGGCAGTTGTTTTAGGAAAAAGAGCAAGTTGCACTACAGACACAACTAATATGAAAGCTGCTGGTACTGGAACAGAGACCTCACAAGTCACAAGTAAGCTTAGTCCTACATGCACCACTTCTCAGCCATTGCAAGAGCATGGGAGAGTTGGTGCTGAAGCTGAAGTAGTAGTAGAAGCCTCTGGTGGCTTTAAGAAGAACATTAGCAGCACCTCTATAGCCATTCAGTGTGACATGGATGAGGGGATAGAGGTTGCTGCTGAAGATGGTGTGAGTGCCAATGAAAGTGGAACACAAACTGAAGGACCAAGTAAATTTCCTTTGCCTCCAAATGCCTCTCCATTTTATTATCTTCCCCTGGCAATGGCTGCTTTAGGAGAAAAACTTCCTGCCCAGTTAGTCCAGCAAATGTTAGCAAAAACACAAGGGTTAGTTGGTGCAGCAGAAGCTGGTATGATTCTTCAACAAGCAGCACAGCTTGCACAGCAGCACCAACAAAAGTTGCAACAGCAAGGTGCATCTGGTCCATCTCTCATATCAAATACCTCTGCTGTAAAACCCATAAAACCTGCAACAATGCCTGGTTTAGCTGTAACTCCCATCATCCCAGGAATGTCTGCAAGTCCCACAGTTACTCCCATAAATTCTTTAAGACCATTAAGTAAAAATCAGGATTCTTCTTCATCAGTGAGTGAAGTATCATCTCCCTCCCCTGTCGTCACAACATCCACTGCTAACACAGCTCCCAGTATTGTTGTAACTACAACTGCCTCATCAACTACAGTCTCCTTACTTCCAGTTACTTCTTCCTCATGTATTACAACAACTGCCCCAACCATGACAGTTCACACCTCAGTTTCTGCATCAGCATCCCCTGCTACTCACAGAGTTGTAGTTCATAGTAATGATGTTAAATCTGTAAATGTACCTCCTCATAGAATCCAGTTAACTCCATCTAATACTACAAGTGAAGAGGTCAACTCTCCCACATATAAAGCCACTGCTAAGCCAAGATTAGTAAAATCTAAGGAAAGAGATGAAGAGAAACTTAAGACTTCCAGAGATGACAAGGCCTTTCCTACTCGAAGACGCAGTGGCCGAGCTACAACTCTGGCTGCAACAAGGGCTACAGAATCTGACATGCATGAAATTGAGGAACTACGCAGAAATAGGCGCGCTAAGCGTGCAGCTGCAGCACTAGCCAAGGAGGAGGGTTGGAGTTCTTCATCTGAGGCACCACTTAGTCCCCAGATGTCCCCAGATACTCTAAGAGGCTGGCCTCCACCCCGTCTAACCAGGTGGGTTTGCCTACTAAATGCACATGTATTCTTAATTCCGGCAGCTAATGTAATATTCTGGTACATTATTTTTGTTCTTTATTCATGATGCTTTCATCCATCTTGATGGAAGATGTAGCCCCTGGTTGGTAATTTGAAAAGAAAATAGGTAACAGCTAAGAATATATATGGGTGTGCAATTCAAGAACATTTATAATGCATTTAGAAGTTCCCCAACACTTTATTCAGCACTTTCGTAGTTGTACTGGGGTACTGTCAGCAGTCACCATCAAGCAGAATAATTCATGGAATAAACAGGATTTGAACTCATGACAAGTCAGTCCTAAAATTAGCAGAGCAATGTTCAGACTGCTACACTATTCCAAATAGTTAAAACACGCCTTTTAATTTTAGGGCTGGCTTACCATGGGTTGGAATCTTGTCCAATTCATGAGTTGTTTACAGTCATGTTATGATCTTCTGAGTCAGTCAGAATAATGTTTCTTTAGTTTGAAAGTTTGAACAGGTTGAAAAATACTTATAACATTTTTTTTTTTTTAACACGCTGGCTGTCTCCCACCGAGGCAGAGTGACCCTAAAGAAAAACACTATCACTGTCTTGCCAGATATTACAGTTTAGATGTCACTCTAAATAGTAAAATATCACAAACCCCTCCTTTAAAGAGTGTGTGTGTGTGTGTGTGTGTGTGTGTGTGTGTGTGTGTGTGTGTGTGTGTGTGTGTGTGTGTGTGTGTGTGTGTGTGTGTGTGTGTGTGTGTCTGTGTGTACTCACCTATTTGTGGTTGCAGGGGTCGAGTCATAGCTCCTGGCCCCGCCTCTTCGCTGATTGCTACTAGGTCCTCTCTCTCCCTGCCCCATGAGCTTTATCATACCTCACCTTAAAACTATGTATGGTTCCTGCCTCCACTATGTCACTTTCTAGGCTATTCCATGGTCTGACTACTCTATGATTGAAGAAATACTTCCTAACATCCCTTTGATTCATCTGAGTCTTCAACTTCCAATTGTGACCTCTTGTGTCTGTGTCCCCTCTCTAGAACATCCCGTCATTGTCCACCTTGTCTATTCCGCGCAGTATTTTATATGTCGTTATCATGTCTTCCCTGACCCTCCTGTCCTCCAGTGTTGTCAGGCCGATTTCCCTCAACCTTTCTTCGTAGGACAATCCCCGTAGCTCTGGGACTAGCCTTGTTGCAAACCTTTGCACTTTCTCTAATTTCTTGACGTGCTTGACTAGGTGTGGATTCCAAACTGGTGCTGCATACTCCAGTATGGGCCTGACGTAAATGGTATACAGAGTCTTGAACGAATACTTACTGAGGTATCGGAACGCTATCTGTAGGTTTGCCAGGCGCCCGTATGCTGCAGCAGTTATCTGATTGATGTGCGCCTCAGGAGATATGCTCGGTGTTATACTCGCCCCCAGATCTTTTTCCTTGAGTGAGGTTTGCAGTTTTTGGCCATCTAAACTATATTGTGTCTGTGGTCTTCTTTGCCCTTCCCCAATCTTCATGACTTTGCATTTGGCAGTGTTAAACTCAAGGAGCCAGTTGCTGGACCAGGCTTGTAGCCTGTCCAGGTCTCTTTGTAGTCCTGCCTGATCCTCATCCGATTTGATTCTTCTCATTAACTTCACATCATCTGCAAACAAGGACACTTCTGAGTCTATCCCTTCCGTTATGTCGTTCACGAGCCTTATCACGAGCCTTTTCCATCCTATGGAGAGGGAGCATGGACACGGGGGTCGTCCCACAGTTACTAAAAACAACAGACATAGCCCCACTCCACAAAGGGGGCAGTAAAGCAACAGCAAAGAACTACAGACCAATAGCACTAACATTCCATATCATAAAAATCTTTGAAAGGGTCCTAAGAAGCAAGATCACCACCCATCTAGAAACCCATCAGTTACACAACCCAGGGCAACATGGGTTTAGAACAGGTCGCTCCTGTCTGTCTCAACTATTGGATCACTACGACAAGGTCCTAAATGCACTAGAAGACAAAAAGAATGCAGATGTAATATATACAGACTTTGCAAAAGCCTTCGACAAGTGTGACCATGGCGTAATAGTGCACAAAATGCGTGCTAAAGGAATAACAGGAAAAGTCGGTCGATGGATCTATAATTTCCTCACTAACAGAACACAGAGAGTAGTCGTCAACAGAGTAAAGTCCGAGGCAGCTACGGTGAAAAGCTCTGTTCCACAAGGCACAGTACTCGCTCCCATCTTGTTCCTCATCCTCATATCCGACATAGACAAGGATGTCAGCCACAGCACCGTGTCTTCCTTTGCAGATGACACCCGAATCTGCATGACAGTGTCTTCCATTGCAGACACTGCAAAGCTCCAGGCGGACATCAACCAAATCTTTCAGTGGGCTGCAGAAAACAATATGAAGTTCAACGATGAGAAATTTCAATTACTCAGATATGGTAAACATGAGGAAATTAAATCTTCATCAGAGTACAAAACAAATTCTGGCCACAAAATAGAGCGAAACACCAACGTCAAAGACCTGGGAGTGATCATGTCGGAGGATCTCACCTTCAAGGACCATAACATTGTATCAATTGCATCTGCTAGAAAAATGACAGGATGGATAATGAGAACCTTCAAAACTAGGGAGGCCAAGCCCATGATGACACTCTTCAGGTCACTTGTTCTATCTAGGCTGGAATATTGCTGCACACTAACAGCACCTTTCAAGGCAGGTGAAATTGCCGACCTAGAAAATGTACAGAGAACTTTCACGGCGCGCATAACGGAGATAAAACACCTCAATTATTGGGAGCGCTTGAGGTTCCTAAACCTGTATTCCCTGGAATGCAGGAGGGAGAGATACATGATTATATACACCTGGAAAATCCTAGAGGGACTAGTACCGAACTTGCACACGAAAATCACTCACTACGAAAGCAAAAGACTTGGCAGACGATGCACCATCCCCCCAATGAAAAGCAGGGGTGTCATTAGCACGTTAAGAGACCATACAATAAGTGTCAGGGGCCCGAGACTGTTCAACTGCCTCCCAGCACACATAAGGGGGATTACCAACAGACCCCTGGCAGTCTTCAAGCTGGCACTGGACAAGCACCTAAAGTCAGTTCCTGATCAGCCGGGCTGTGGCTCATACGTTGGTTTGCGTGCAGCCAGCAGCAACAGCCTGGTTGATCAGGCTCTGATCCACCAGGAGGCCTGGTCACAGACCGGGCTGCGGGGGCGTTGACCCCCGGAACTCTCTCCAGGTAAACTCCAGGTAAACATATACCAAGAACAGCACAGGTCCTAGAACTGACCCCTGTGGAACCCCGCTTGTCACAAGCGCCCACTCTGACACCTCGTCACGTACCATGACTCGTTGCCTCCCTGTCAGGTATTCTCTGATCCATTGCAGTGCCTTTCCTGTTACGTGTGCCTGATCCTCTAGCTTTTGCAGTAACCTCTTGTGAGGAACTGTGTCAAAGGCCTTCTTGCAGTCCAAAAAAATGCAGTCGATCCACCCCTCTCTCTCTTGCCTTACTTCTGTCACCTTGTCATAAAACTAGTAGGTTTGTGACACAGGATTTTCCTTCCCTGAAACCGTGCTGGTTGTCAATTATACACTTGTTTCTTTCCAGGTGCTCCACCACTCTCCTCCTGATGATCTTCTCCATGACCTTGCATACTATACACGTTAGTGGTACAGGTCTGTAGTTTAGTGCCTCATATCTGTCTCCCTTTTTAAAAATTGGGACTATATTTGCCATCTTCCATACCTCAGGGAGTTGCCCAGTTTCAAATGATGTGTTGAAGATATTTGTTAATGGCACACACAATATCTCTGCTCCCTCTTTAAGGACCCACGGAGAGATGTTGTCTGGTCCCACCACCTTTGAGGTGTCAAGTTCGCATAACAGCTTCTTCACTTCCTCCTTGGTTATACGTACCTCATCCAGCACTTGCTGGTGTACCCCCCTGTTCTGATTTCCTGGAGTCCTACTGGTTTCCACTGTAAATACTTCTTTAAATCTCATGTTGAGCTCCTGACATACCTCTCGGTCGTTTCTTGTGAATTCCCCATCACCCTTCCTCGGTCTGATTACCTGGTCCTTGACTGTTGTTTTCCTCCTGATGTGGCTGTACAACAGCTTCGGGTCAGTCTTGACTTTCGATGCTATGTCATTTTCATATTGTCGCTGAGCCTCCCTTCTTATCTGTGCATATTCGTTACTGGCTCTTCGGCTAATCTCTTTATTTTCCTGAGTTCTCTGTCTTCTGTACCTTTTCCATTCTCTAGTACACCTAGTTTTTGCCTCCCTACATCTTTGGGTGAACCAAGGACTTGTTCTGTTCTTCCCATTATTTCTGTTTCCCTTGGGAACAAACTTCTCCTCTGCCTCCTTGCATTTTGTTGCCACATAGTCCATCATTTCTTGTACTGGTTTTCCTGTCAGTTCCCTCTCCCACTGAATGTTTTGAAGGAAGTTCCTCATGCCTGAGTAGTTCCCCCTTTTGTAGTTTGGTTTTTCCCACCCTATTCCTGCTACTCTCTCCACTTGGAGCTCAACTATGTAGTCGAAGCACAGAACCACATGATCACTAGCTCCCAGGGCCTTTCATACAAGATATCCTCGATGTCTGAACTACTCAAGGTGAATACAAGGTCCAGTCTTGCTGGTTCATCTTCTCCTTCTCTCTTGGTAGTGTCTCTAACATTTTTGATGCATGAGGTTTTCCAGTACTACATCCATCATCTTGGCTCTCCATGTTTCGGGACCCCATGGGGCTCCAGGTTTTCCCAGTCAATCTCCTTGTGATTGAAATCACCCATAACTAGTAACTTTGCTCCCCCCATGTGTGCTCTCCTGGCCACCTCGGCTAGTGTGTCGACCATGGCTCTGTTGCTCTCATCGTATTCTTCTCTTGGTCTCCTGCAGTTCTGTGGTGGGTTGTACATTACTGCAATTATCACCTTATGTCCCTCAGACTGGATTGTTCCTACTAAGTAGTCCCTTTCACCCGTGCCATCCATTCCTTCCATTTTCTCAAAACCCCACTGGTTTTTAATGAGCAGTGCAACTCCTCCTCCCCCTCTCCTCCCTCTGTCTTTCCTGAGGATTTGATATCAGGGTGAAAAGATTGAATCTGTTATTATTCTGGTGAGTTTTGTTTCTGTGAGTGCTATTATGTCTGGGAATGTCTCCTTGATTCTTTCGTGCCACTCCTCATACTTATTTGTTATTCCATCTGCATTTGTATACCACACCTTCAACTTCTTTTCTAAGACTGTGGTCTGGGAGGTGTATTGGGGTTGGGGAAGTGGGAGACCTGATAAGGAACTATGGGTGGTTGCTGTGGGGGTGGAGTTTGTAATGTAGTGGGTGGGAGCATTGGATGTGGCATGGGTGTTTTGGTTTAGAGTGTTTGGCTGCACTGGGGTTGACCTGGTTGGGAGGCTTCTATAGGAAGCTGTGAGGGAGGTTGTATTTGATCTTCTTCCTGTGTCTGGATCTCCTGTCTGTCTTCTCCATCCCTCTCTTTCCTCCTTTCCACTTTGTACCATCTTTTTCAGTTGCTGCCTCTCTTCTTGTGTTCTGTCGCGTCGAAAATACACCTTCCGTATGCCGGCATGCCCCTTAATTGTGCTTTCCCCTGCAGTATCCTTTTTCCGAGTCGATTCTGCCTTGAAGGTCACTTTCACTGGCCGGGGTTCTTTTTTTTTACAAATCCCCCTATTCTCCGAAAATTTTCCAGCTGGGTCCTGTCTTTCTTCTCCTATTACTTTATGATGCTTTCAATTGCTTTTTTTTCTTCTTGTTTTCTTGCTTCATATTTTTCCCCCTTCAACTTCCTGTAGCCCATACACAAAGACTGACCTCACCCTTCATTCTCCCACTGCATATCCTGTGTATCCCCTCATTCAATTTCATTTCCTCCATTGCAGCTTTTCCTTTCTTCATTTTCACTAGCTACTGTTTCTTGGGCTCAGTGGCCCGTCATTTTCCCTTCTCGGCTTTCCCTGGGCTCTGCTGTGGTCTGTTAGGGCCTCCACATATAGCTTAGCTCTTTCATTTACTACAGTCTCCACTGATAGAGCTTCTACATGCAGTTTTGCTCCTTCTTTCCCTACAGTCCCCTTATTTGTGACTGAGGTAGCAGTCTCTGTTGTCAATCCCAAAATGTTCTTTAGTTCTTTAGGCTGTTTCAGATTTTTCAGTTCCTCTTCTAAACTCTGTATCCTGGCCTCTGCTGCTTTGACTTGCACCTCCCACTTCCTGCTTTCCATTACTATCCTCTCTTCCATTCTCATGCTAAGTTCTTCTAGTTTCCTTTCCCATTCATGTTCCCTTTTTATGATTGCCTCAGAGTGGGAAACCTATGTAATTCTGTGTGTTAGGTTAGTAGTGTGTATGTCAGAGTGTGGGGGGGGGGAGGTAGAGGAGGAACTGTGGCTATGTGGGAGAGGAGTGGGGAGGGGGAGTGGGAAGGAGGGAGAAGCAAGTGGGTGAGTGGGAGGGGGAGAGGGGGAAGGAGGGAGAGGTGAGGAGGGGGAGGGTGACAGAGGGAGGGAGGGATCAGGGGAAGGAGTGAGATGTCGGTGGGGAGGGAGTGTGAGAGGTGTGTGTGTGTGTGTGTGTGTGTGTGTGTGTGTGTGTGTGTGTGTGTGTGTGTGTGTGTGTGTGTGTGTGTGGTGTGTGTGTGTATTGTGTGTTGTGTGTGTGTAGGGGGTGTGTGGGGGGTGTTGTGTGTGTGTGTGTGTTGTGTGTGTGTGTTGTGTGTATGTTGTGTGTGTATGTTGTGTGTGTGTGTGTGTGTGTGTGTGTGTGTGTGTGTGTTGTGTGTGTATTGTGTGTGTGTGTGTGTTTGAGTGAGTGTGTGTTTGTGTGTGTATGTGTGTGTGTGTGTGTGTGTGTGTGTGTGTGTGTGTGTGTGTGTGTGTGTGTCTGTGTGTGTCTGTGTGTCTGTGTGTGTCTGTGTGTCTGTGTCTGTCTGTGTGTGTGTGTGTGTGATGAATGTGCTTCTTTTTTGTCATTCTGTTTTGGTGAGAGAAATGGCCAATGTGCTAAAAAATAAATTATTTTCTTTTGCAGATGTTTTTAAAAAAAAATTCTGTTATTTTGCAAATATTCCAGTCCAACGCCATCTCAAAGTTCAGAAGGGACAACCTCATCTACCCCATCCCAGCGAGGCAATCGACTGTCATCTTCTCGTAGTCGTCGGCAGTCGCCTGCAAGTAGTATAGATAGTAATGTAAAGTGAGTTGCCTTGTATGTTGAGTTGGTGAATGAATAGTTAGGTTTTATATTCTTCTTCTTAAAATTTCATCAAAACAAGGATTGAATTAAGATTGTCATAGAGAAATTAGAGAAAATAAAAAAAAAATATTCAAACCATTTAACTAATCTATGCCAGAAATTAAATTTATTCTTTTTAGGGAATGATAGCACACCTTTTTTCTCAGAAAAGTTGATAGATAAAATAATTTGCCTGCCATTTTAAATTTCAGAAAAAATTTAGCTTGTGTTTATATTATTTGTCAGATTCACATAAATGATTGTTGAGAATATAGCTCTGATAAGCAGTGCTATATACATTTATTCCATGAACCTTCAATTATTCCACCACATCTCAGCCCAATTATCTACACACACACACAAAAAAAAAAATGATTCAAATACTGTGTATACAGTAATGGTATTTGGCTAAATACATTTATATTTATTACTCCCAACACTAGCCAAAAAAAAAAAAAAAAAAGGATTGACTGTATTCTGCTTCTTGTCATCATCAGTTACCTCTTCATAAACTACTACTCTGTGCTTATGTAGATTAACAGTTAAATTTTAAAAATAGGTTAGACAGGTCCTTTTTTAACTTATGAGTGATCTCCCATCAGAGTAGGATGGGAAGAGAAATACTTACACCATCAATCAATTAATAGCTGTCCTGGAGAGAATTGGTATAAAAATTACACTATGGCAGTGGAGATGTCATGTTTGAAAAAATGGTTGGTGTGAATATTATGCTAAGAATTCAAAGTGAACAAATTTAAAGGTAGTGTTTGGCTATGAAAGATATAATTCAGAGGGCAGAGGAGGGGTTGGTGAGGTGGTTAAGGCATATAGAGAGGATGCAGGAGAAAAAGATGATGAAGAGGGTATATAAATCTGGGGTGGAAGGAGGGGTAGGGATCATCTCAGGAAGGGTTGGAAGGAGGGTGAGGGTTTTAAGTGGTATGGACTTGAGCATCCAGGAGGCGTGAGTGAGCATGTTAGATAGGATTGAGTGGAGACAAGTAGTTTCAAGGATTTGACATTTTGTTGGAGTGTAAGCAAGGTAACATTTATGAATAAATTTAGGGAAAATAGTTAGCCAGACTTGAGTCCTGCTGGTAGGAAGTACAGAATCTGCACTTGGCGTGGCAAGAGAGGTGGAATGCAGCAGTTTCGAGACTTTTTTAATTTTTTTTTTAGTTTCGATGTGTGCACAGTTCTAGCAAGATGGCTGTTGAGTGAGCAAGGGATGAATGTTTCACTTTTTGGGTCACCTTTCATTGGTGGAAGTTGGCTGGTGTAGTAAAAAAAAAATTCAACCGTTAGCAATTGCTAATTTTTTTTTTTAACACATCGGCTGCTTCCCGCCGAGGTAGGGTGATACATACATATATATTATTTTTTCCTTCCAGTCTTGGAAAATCGTCATCATTATCAAACATTCCAGCTAGTCAAAGTGTGCAGAGTAGTTCTGCACAAGTATTATCCGACAAATCCTTGGCAGATCCCAATGCTGCATATATATGTGATAATTCCCTGTTAACCCGAGCACCAACGTTTTTCCCATCTGAAGAAGAGTTTACTGATCCTCTTGATTACATTGAAAAGATACGACCAGAAGCTGAGCAGTTTGGCTTATGCCGAATTGTTCCACCCAGTAATTTCAAGGTAAGCTGGCCAATTTTAAACGGATGATTCATTCATATTTTCATAGCGTAATAGAATATTTTTTTAAATACAGTGGAACCTCTACTTACGAGTTTAACCATTTCCGTGACCTAACTCGTAACTCAATTTGCTTATATGTCAAATCAGTTTTCCTCATTTAAATTAATTGAAATGCCATTAATTTGTTCCAGCGGAATTCCTGCTCTCGGGAGGCAGGACAAAATACTTCAATATAATGCAAATATCAACTCTGCAGCTTATTTATCTATTACAGTTGTTCTGATATGACATAATAAGCAATATAAATAACATAGAAACATGATATATACTCTAGGATGAATAAAATGTGTTATATGATTGGTGGCAGCCATTCCTGTTCCCGCTCTCACCATATCTTCCCATGCTCTTATTGTAAGAGACAATGGAGTGTTTGTGAGGCTAACTGCACTAGATCACTAATTTCATAAGGAAAACACTGAAACAATGTATTTATAAATAAGAAATATTGTATAAAAATATATAAGTCGGCCATCACTAATCAGGCATCATTGGGACCTGTAGTGTGCCGGATTAGCGAGTTTGCCAGATTACAGAGTGGTTAGGTTAGAATACACTTATTAACCTATCAGTAGAGAGACTTTCTGCTATATCTTCCTCATTTTCATCACTGCTTTCTCCTCCAATGGCTTGCTGCTGTGGACTTACAGCCATCTGCACAATTTCTGAGTCAGTGTAATGATGAAATTTGAGTCAGTATAATGATGAAATTTGAAATTATGCTAGCCAGAATTAGTGCCGAATTACTGATGGAACCAGATAACTGATTGCTGGATTAGTGATGGCCAACCTGTAAAACATAATAGAGAATGTAAGGAAATGAACTGGTTTTATAAAGTGTACATGCATATTTACCTGGGAGAAGAGATGCTTGCAAAGCAGCATATTCTGTCAATAGTCCTACAAGACCCAACAACAACAACAACAGCATTGGAGGAGTTCATTTCGTTTTGTCCTTTTTTCTATCGCTTAATCACTTAATTTACTTGCTACACTTTATTGCTGAACTTTACTACTAGAATTTCTTTTTCCTTCACTTTTCACTGATTTACTTACTACACTCTTAATGCTACAACCCATAACCCGCACACCTCGCTTGTGTTTATCTATGATTTCGTGCTTTAATTCCATGGACATCATCCTCTTTTTCTTCTCAGTACTGTCCTTTGCACTTACTTTGTTAGGACCCATGGTTAGAAAAAAGAAATTTAGCAAATTAACTGCACAAAGCACAAGCAAAACACGAGAAATTCTTCCACGGCAAGGTAAACGTGTACATACCTCTTAGCAGATGTTCTGGCATTTGCTGTGCCAACTAGTGGCGGCATTCTGGAGCTCGCTCATTATTATTATAATGAGGAAGCGCTAAACCTGTAAGATTATACAGCACCTGTGGGGGAAGGGGATGGAAGGGGGATTTGAAGCCGCTAGAATTTACGGGTTTAAATACGTCAGAAACAGTGGCGCATAAGATGTATATATACGACGTAACACTACATATATTCTCCAGCCTCTCACTGACACATTGAGAGTATTGGGTGCCTGGGTATATGGTGTGGGAAGGAGTGGTGAAGGTAATTCCAATGAGAGGGAGGGTTGGGTTGAGTACAGTATGCTGAGGTAAGGTAGGGAGAGTAGAAAGAAGGGAGTAAAGGTTCACCAAACAGTCCCTACAGCCACCAGCTGGGCCATGGGGGTCTTTCCAGTAAACTTCCCTGGCATACCACCCAACCCCCCTTGTTTCACCTGACCCCTTGACATCCCTCCTGAGCCCCTGACTTCTCTCTCCCAACCCCCAACTTAACAAGTCTTCCTGTCCTCCCCCACATCAGCCACTGATAGGAACTGAACATAGCAATCTCTCGACCAGTGTAATTATTAAATCTGCAGTTTTTATCAGTCTTTACTAAGCAAATATGGACTCTACCCACACATGAAATGAACTTACATTACACAGAGTTTTAATACGTGTGATAAACAACTAAGGAAAAAATTAAATTTTATAATTCAGCTCTAACAAAATCATAATTACTGGTATGTATTTAATCTTTAGTTTTTTAACACGCTTTACCTGGCTAACATGAACTCTCCACTCATGCATAAAATTAACTTATTCTTTTGTATTTCAAGTATTTTAGTGATGCTAATGTGCAATGTAGCCCATTATTACTCATTATTCTTCTAGTGCACAACCTATTACCTCATTCACTTATTTCTAGTCTTTAAAATATTCCTTGTCTCTCCTAACACTTCCAGTTTGAAGGAATGCATACCTTATAATTTTGCGGTGTTAAAGTTTTTCATGTTTTTATCCACATAGCCTGAATGTCGTGTCAACGATGATATGAGATTCACTGGTAACAACCAATATATTCACAAGATGATGAGACGTTGGGGCCCAAATGTACGCACTCTCCATGCTATTAAAAGATGTCTAGCAAAACAGAATATAGAACTTACCAGCAATCCCCTAGTAAGTATAGTCATTTTTTTGTTTTTCTTATTAATCTGATATTTTAAATAAAAATACCATAAAATCATCATTAATGAATTTAACAAGTACTCAGTACGTCTCCTAGAGCAGATGGGGTTTGAACACAAGGTGAGCCAGTCCTAAAACTAGCAGGCCAGTGTGCTAAACCATACCACATCATCCTATTAAAATTCATCTAACTAGGATGAATCTTGTTCAGCCAGCATGGTATGGTTGTTAACACTTTGGTCAGTTAGTTTTATGATTAGCTCTCTATTGGTTCAAATAGCATCTGTTGTGAGAGTTGTTTATAATTGTGTTATGATTTCTAGACATTATATAGTACATTACAGTGGACCCTCAGTTAACGACGTCATCGGATAACGTAAAAATCGGATAACGACATGTTTTGCATCAAAATATTGGATCAGTTAACAACAAAGAACTTGGTTAAAGTCATTCGTCCCAAACGTGTCCGTGCAGCCCGAGCGGCCCGGCCATTCCATGTACAGCCAGTGTGCCATTGTTTACAAGCCAGTGAGGACGATTCTACGCTTACATGCGATACATTTTGTATTATTCCATTGTTTTTAGCGCTTGTAACTGCTAAATAAGCCACCATGGGCCCAAAGAAAGCTTCTAGTGCCAGCCCTGTGGTAAAGAGGGTAAGAAATACTATTGAATTCAAGAAAGAGCTCATCGCAAAATACAAAAGTAGTGTGTGTGTCTCCGAGCTGGCCAGGTTGTAAAACAAACCCCATACAACCATCACACTATCTTGGCCAACAAAAAGGTAAAAAGGGAGCGTTTTTGTAAAGGGCAAATGTGCTTAAAAAACAGAGATCGCAAATACTCGAAGATGTGGAGAGACTGTTGTTGGTGTGGATCAATGAAAAACAATTATCAGGAGATAGTGTTTCACAGAAATTTATCTGTATATAAAAGGGAAACATTCATGATATCTCTTTAAAAAAATGCCTGGAACTATGAATTTAAGGCCAGAAAAGGGTGGGTTAGAATTAAGAATCGTAGTGGCATACACATTGATAAGGCTGGCGAGGCTACCAGTTCTGACAAAAAAGCACGAAAAATATGCAGATTTTTAACCCTTTCGGGGGTTTTCTGAAACTAGCAGGGTTTACCACCAGGGTTTTTGACGTACAGTACCCTAAATTCTAGTGCCCTCAAACTAGTGAGAGAAACTGGTAGGCCTCATATAAAAATGGTCTATGTGGTCTGTGGCGCAAAAAAAAAAAAAATCGCAGCACCCCATGCGTAATGAAAAAAAAATTTTTGACAGGTTTTTTTTTGTTTAAAAACGGGGATTTTTTGCACGTATTTTTTTCGTATGTTTTTATGAGGGTATTCTAGTTTTCCTGGTCTCTTTTTAAAATGGAAGACATGTTACAGAAATTGGACGATTTTGAGGGGTTTTAACAATAAAAGTACGGAGGGCCCCACTTAACGGCAGGTAGGTTCCAGGCTCCCGCCGAAAGCGGAAACCGCTGTAAAGTGAACCCCTTTTTTTTTTTCCACTTAAAATGATACAAACCAGATAACAAGTTTACACTAACATATATTAATTAGCAAAAGAACCAGGCATCAAAAAACAATAAAAAATACAATCACACTAGTCACCTTTCTTACCCAAAAAAATTTTTTGTCTTAATCTAGGGGGAACAAGTAGTAATTTTTTGTAAGAAAACAAGTGTGGTAGTATGGTAATGCCAGGCTACCCTTTCCCGGCCACCCCACCCACACATACTACTATATATTTAAGCTCCCAGAGGATAAAATGTATTAAAAATTCACTCATTACTTACCTTTAAAAAATTTTAGTCTTAATGTAGGGTCGGATAAGTAAATGAGATAAAACAATAAATGAAGGGAAAAAAGAATGAGTACATGAAGGGGACAGGCGAAGTTTTGTAAACAAACCCGGCGAAAATAAGTTTTGTAAAAAAACGAAGTTACACGTCTGGTTTGTGTACAAGTTACATTTTTGTACAGGTTTTTCTCACATTTAACGTAAATTAATAAAGAAGAACACTCCCATTCTCATTTAAATTCATTTTGAGAAGAAATGAAGCTCTGAGTGAAGGGAATGGAAATAAGTCACACGCTTTTTTGGGTTTTCCTAGGTTCTCTACACTATGTTGTTATGTATGAAATTAGTAACGATTTTTGTTAAAACCCGAAAAACTTACTTCTACATACAAAAGAATAATTTTCTACAGTTTTCCCCCAGAACACATTTTCTCTTAAATTTTGATTTGAGACAAGTTTTAACTTGCCGCACTTTTAAAGTTATGTGGCTCCCCCCTCTTTTTATTTAAGTTTATTTATTCTATTGTGGGTGTATTTACATCTTTTTTTTGTTATGTATCGGTTTTTTTATATAATTTTTTAAAAAAAAATCATGGATGGTTAAGAAAATGTGTATATTAACTAAAATACGACATTTAATGAGACCGGGAGTATTGTTATTATTATTATTTCATTTCTAATATGACTCACTTGTCAATCGCTGCTACCACATCTCACATTTATGTTTTTTTATTCTACGTGGGGTTATTTATCTTGAAGTTGAGACATTTAGCAGCAAGGGGAATCTTATTCGAAACGTTTCGCCACACAGGGCTTCATCAGTAAAATCAAAGAGAAGGCATAAGGAAGGAGGATAGAGGTAATCAGTCCCTCAGCCGGATCGATGTTTTTCGTCCATCAATCTTTAGAAGTACAGCAAAGGGCCTAACGGGCTTTTAACTGTGTGAGGTAAGTAAGCAGGCGGAGGCGGGGTATATGGTACCATCCACTATCAAGTAGGCTTCGCCCAAAAGGTTGAACAAGTGTTGAAAAATTCTTTGAACAAGACCCCATGATGCTGCAGTGTCTGACAGTTGTGTAAATGGTGTTTTTTATAAATTTTTAAAAAAATATCATGGAGGGGAAAAAAAAATGTGTATATTAACTAAAAATACAAATTTAAATGACTCGATGTTTAAAATTATCATTACTAATATGACGCTGGGACTAAGACACTTACCAAATTTTTAATGTGTACCTGCATGCCGACAATGTAATTTTTTTAGGTACGGTATACATAAGTATAATTTCAGGTAAAAAAAAATATGAAAACTTTTAAAAACTTTAAAATTTTTTGGGAGTTTCCAGACAAAATGGAGAGACTTAGTGCTTACTGAGCTCATGGAGAATGTAAAAACGGGTGGGGGACGGTACCGTATTAAAAGCAGGGGGGGAGCCTATGGAGTTTTGGTCAAATTTGAAATGTCCATTAGGAAAGCCGTAAAATAAACCCGTAAAGCGGGGGCCTTCCCGTACCTTGAAATTTAGCTCAAAGTAGCAGAAATTTTCGATTTTTGCCAAGTTCAAAAATAAACAAAACAGCTACGGCCAAAACTTAACAGATCAATATTCTTTCACAAGTACGCTGATATTATTTAACCATTTCTACACTAATGCAGTAGTCGCATAACAGTAAACTTATTTTTTTGTGAAAAAAAAATTCAAAGGGAAAGCAAAAGAATGTAAGAGGGGGATGGGCGTGACTAATGAACAGAGGAAATGTTATTTTAGTGCCAGGAAATTCTTTCTTTTTATTCTGGACCCTATTTGGAAAATTTGGGACTTTTGAAAAATTTTTGGCAAAATTGCTAAATTCTGACCACTTTATTGGGGTGTTGAAATCATAAATGGGTGGTTTCTTGTACTCTTTGTAGAAAAATGGGGTTCTAGAGAAACATTATATTTTTGTTTACTAACACTGAATTGGCCGAAAAAAAGGGGCAAAGTGGGGAAAATCGCCGACTAAACATTGTCAAGACCGTAATTTCACGAACATAATTTCCCTAATTTTCCATCAAATTTCATCTTTTAGTGTCATTATGATCAGGGAAAAAATTCCGCTTTTTATAAATTTTTTTTTTTTTTTTTTTTTTTTTTAAAATTTGTCAACCCTGAGAAAAATCTGGGGGAGGGCCTGTTGACCCGAAAGGGTTAAGGGGTACATAGAACTGAAAATTAAAACCCCAACAGGTGTTCAATGTCAAAACAGGGCCCGTTTTTTAAGAAAAAGCAAAACAGGGGCCTCATTACTCAGGAGAAAAGGCACTCCCGGAACAAACCTATGAGACGCTACTCTCATGTTTTGTGTAATCAGGGGGTGCAAAAAAACCTTATTTTTTGTATCACATGAAACTCAAGAGTGTTCAAGAAAAACGTGTCAACAAGACTAAAATTTGGGGTTGGGGTTGGAAACAAACATAAGGCATGGACACTAGGGACATTTCCTTTTATTGGGTTTTACACAGATTTTCCACTCCCGGGGCCCCCTGTTAAAGGACAATGCCCTGCCATCACCCGACTTGAAAGCGAATTGTTGGGGGCTTTTTGTTTCATCAAAGGAAATTTTTGCCCCCAACACCACCCCTCCCTTCCCAATCAGGACCAGCAGGGCATTTTAAATTTCAAAAAAATAAACCAAAGCTATTTCAAAAGGCTTTTTAAATGACCTCAACACTGAAATTTACCCTTTAAAAGTTTTTGGAAAGATCCTTCATATCCTCAGTTTCATAAACCTTATAGGTAAGGCTTGGGGGGGAGTGACTTGCAGGCTTTTTAAAACCTGTTTGGAGAAAAAATTGGGCCACAAAGTGTACAAAAGGGGTTTTGAATGTTTGGGTCTAACCCTGAGGAGCCCATGCCAGTTGTGGAATCTATTGTGGGATTGGGGAAGCCATGGGGTTGGAAGTTAGTGGGGAGGGTGTGGGAAAGTTTTGGGGACAGATAAGAGCTAACCACACAGAGCTGTAAGAAATTGAGGGGCAACGCAATTTGATCACAGCTCAGTAATTTCCTTCAGAGGGGGGGGAAAGAGATGGGGGAAGTTGCCCTTTTCAAAGATTAAGGACATTTTGTGCAAAGTGGCTGAATGCAAAACCCTTTTTGAATGAACACCACCCTACACAACTGTTGCAGGC